TGCAAACACCGACCCTAGTAGTAATTAGTAACGTCGCCTAGTACATATGAACGGTCGTCATTGCAAATCGAACATCCTTTTGAAATTTGGACGTCGGGCAGGCGATTTCAAGGCACCGCACTTAAATATTAGCAACATATTTTTCTGAGCGGTTGTTTATTCTCTTTCAAACGAGACATAAATGTGACGACATAGTCGATCCCTTATCCACCGCTAAGAATGCCGCAATGTTTCGTTCGTTTTGCAACATGCCACAAATCGTCGAAAAAAAACACCACTTCGACGGAAGCTTGCGTAATAAGGGGGTTAAAACAAGAAAACAAATGCCATGTTTAATACATATCGACCTGTTTTACTTGCGAAAGATAACGGAACATGAACTCGTTTCGTGCGACTTCGGAACCCGAAGGAACACACCAACAACATGCCACAAATCGTCGAAAAAAAACACCACTTCGACGGAAGCTTGCGTAATAAGGGGGTTAAAACAAGAAAACAAATGCCATGTTTAATACATATCGACCTGTTTTACTTGCGAAAGATAACGGAACATGAACTCGTTTCGTGCGACTTCGGAACCCGAAGGAACACACCAACAACGTTGAATTTACCCGCTATCTTCCAAATATGGTATATTAATTTATTCAGTTGTTTATTTAGAGTGACGTCCGCGGTCGAATGCGATTGGCTATCGATGTCAGTGCAAAGGTCATATGAATATTAAAATTAAGTGGGCGGAAGGAAAATTGTATAGGAGACAAGCTGGAGTCTCGTGTGGCGATAGCGATAACACCGGGACGAATGGTCTGGGGTACCCATGGACAAACTGTGTTATCCCATAAGATCTTGTCTGCACTAATCAGATATTGGAGAAACTGTTCAGTATGACAGCCATCACATAATATCCACTTGTGACACATTCCTTTTGTGACATTTCTGACAATTTGCTGGACCATTTCCGCTCACTATTTACCAATCACTTGAAACAAAAAACAGTCATGCCTTTTGAATTAAACTTTATATTAAGTCCTGTTGGATGCCATTGAACACTCTATAGGCAAGCTGTAGTTTGAATCAAAAATTCAGCTGAAGTTCAAGCAGAAACAATGTGTTCAGTCCTTGCGTCTTGGGGAAGGCAATTAATTTGGTTGTTTTACCGTTTGGGTTTGGAAACTCCCTTATTTACATGCTGGCGCAGAAAGTTAATTAGGCCAGACTTTTATTATCCCTTGTTTCGCGAACCTGCCGAATGAACAGAAGCCGAAAATGAAATAAAATAAAATTTTATTTCATCGTAATTTCTCACGCCGACTTGTAAGTGCAAAAAATTGCTAAAAAAAATGATTTTTATCTTAATTTTTTTTTTCGCCCGCCGCTTAGCAAACCCAAGTTGCATTATCGTGGGAGTATCATGATCAAAGTACCGAAGTCTCGCGCAGATGAGGAACAGGGTTATACATGGAATAAAATGTTATTTCATTTCTTTTCTCCGATCAATGATCTCACTTTCACTTCTTTGAGAATCACACAAATCTAATGGAAAAAAAAGAATTAATTTAATTTTTTTCCGCCCTCCTCAAAAAAAAAATGCATTGTAAAAACTCAAGAAACAAGGAATAAAAAAAAGTCTGGCCTTACAGATATTTATGGAAACATTGACTGTTCTATTACAAAGTCATATTCTATGCAGTCTACATGTATCAGCAAAATAACTCTAGACGCACATGGCTATATTGTTTCGTCATGCCATTGTAATTTATTTTAATTTTACACCTCTAAAAATGAGTGTCTTGATTGCATGCCAAGTACTGTTTGATTGGCTATGTTCATTAACAATTTAATCCTAAAAAACAACAATGTGGACTAGTCCATATTACTCTGATGTTGTCCGTGTAAACAACAGTATTGTGTCAGGCATTGTTTGTGCCAAGTGAATTCATCGATGAGGGTGCAATAACTTTCACCAACCATGCAAGGCATAGTGCACGACCTAGTTTTCTTTACTATTTGTTCAGTTGGCTATGTAGCAGCATGATTAATACATTAATGCATGCTATCTGATTAACATACTGTTTGCCTTGTACAATCAGTACTTTGGTAATGATTAATAGTACATCAGGAAAAATTGGAAGTTGTCGGCCATATGTGCTTGGGTGTATATACTACTAGTAATCTGTAGGTTCATTATTAATCAAGAGTTTGAGACTCTAATCCATGCATGAGTCTTCTGTGAATAGCAAGAATGGGATTAGCACAGTCTAAACCAAACTCACATGGCATGAGTAAGTTTGAAGAGTTCATCTCAGATTAGCTTTTCTATACTCTATAATCTTTTTGATTTATGTTCCATTTATTACATGTTTTCTCACTGCTTTATGGAGTCTTAGTTTTGACAACCTGTTGTTTATTTATACAATCCATATGTGTATGTGTAACCTGTAGGTACTGGTACTGTAGTTCTTATATGGACATGCACTACATATTGCACTTTAGACCTCATTGTCTATCTGTAACGTATTTTTATATGTATTCAGTTTGACAGGCTTGCACTTGACATTTATATTGCATGCACAATATCACTGGAATTTTTAAAAGTATTACAACCGGAAACCTTTTCACTTCATGTCTAGGTTCTTTGTCAGTTTGTCAATATGGGTAAATGTACAGATGTTACAAGTAGTATAATTTTTAATTGGATAATTTACATAAAATTATATGACATTACAGTCACTTTTATTGTTTTGAAACAATTAAACAAAATATTTATTTACTCAACAATAGATTGGCTTCTATGAACTTTGTGCTGTTATCGAAATGGTATGTCAGTATGATGTATGTACGTCAGTACGTACTAACTCTGAGTCACTGATAGCGCTGGGTCATGCCAATTATTAGCCACAAATAAATTGTAATACTTTATATATGTATGTATGTTAAAAATAGGTTTCTTGTTTTAAATGCATTTAAAATTTTAAGTAGTTGTGGCCACCTGTAATAAATTATAAATCACATTAGATTTCCGTTAGCGAATGCTATAAGTAACATGTATAATGGGGAGTGCTATACATTGGAAATTTGTCCTGAACATTTTATTTTTTATGTTAGAATTATTATGTTTTCAAAGACATCTTGCCACTCATGTAATCATTATTTACAAGTGAGCATTGTTCCAAAAAACAAAAACAGCAATGTCCAATTATGCAATTTATAATACTGTAATCAGTTTAAGTGTTAAGGTGTTGTAGTATTTTTTTCTTGTCCAGTTTATTTTTTTTTGTACTGGTATGTATATTGATAATTCACTTGTGATTATAAACTTAATTAAAATGTTGGTAGGTGGTCATTTGGCCAAGAACTTTTCATGAACCAGCACAAATGCAGCATTGACTAATTAATGGCTGTCACATTACTAGAATTCATCACATGACTAGTCGAGATATTGTTTTAACAAGTACTGTAGAATAATATTTTATCTGGAATTAATTTTCGCTGAAAACACTTTTTGGCTGTTTTGTATGGATTATATTTTCACTGATTTTTGACAAGTAGATTGAAAAATATAGGAAAAGGTATATTCACTGGATTTTATTTTCACTGAATCATTCCTTCAGCGAAAATAGCGAAAATTAATTCCAAGTGAAAATAAAGTATTCTACAGTATTGTCAGAAGAGCTGAATGTCAAAGGTCATTTTCATCTGAATAAAGCCTCTTACTGTTCATGTTAATTTAAGATTGATGTTCAACTAATCTATTTATATAGTATGTGCAGATTTTTACTTCAAAATTATGAATTTTCACTTGTGATAAGTTTTAACACTTAAACATTGCTATTTTAACTGATCTTCTATTTATTTTCAGTTATGGGGCAGACATTATCAGAGCCCGTAACAACGAAGGAAACCACTCGAGATGGTAACCATGCATTTAAAATTGGTTCATCATGTATGCAAGGATGGAGAATCAGTATCCTTTTATATGAAAATAATTCTTTTGATGCACCATTTTGTTCCTTAAGTTCTTGAAGGCCTCACAATGTAGCCATTTTAGAGCACAAATATGTCATTTTGTATATGGCATTATTTCCCCAATGTATCACTCTTTGGATTTACAAGATTAAAAACAAAAGATTATTGATCAGAGCTAGGCCAGGCGCCCTCAGGCGACAGCCAGGAAGATGTGGACACATCTCCAATATTCAGAATTTTGCCAAGCTAATTAAATATTGGATAATTATCTTTTTATGGTGATATTTGATTAATTAATGCTAAATTGAGATTTCTAAAGATGTTTTGAGTGGTTCTTATCTAGTTTGTTCATCTACATAAACTCGCAAATGAAGAGCATGGATTTCAGATCTGAAGGCAATAAATAGATTGAACAGCTGGCACATTTGTGAACATTGCAAACAGAAACCAATCAAATACAAATTGTTTTGAATGGCTTGACAAATAAAAAAAATAAGCTTAATGTTATTCAATATCAAAGTATCCCTTTACTGTTTACTGAGATGTGTGTCATCTAAATAATCAATTAAGAGAGTTATCAGTTATTTAATTTTGTACGTGTAAGGTAATGATTACAACAAGCCACACAACAAATGCCTGCTGATACCATTTTTTTTTTCGTTTATCGCTATTCATGTAGGCTTTCAGCAGGCGATGTGTTAATTTCAGGCATTTTATACAGTGCAATCTTGCATAACTTAATTAACATTAAGTTAGATTTTGTTTGGTTAGATAGCTTTGGCTGAGTGAAACAAATATTGCTTTTTCCAGTAATAGGCTTTAACAAAATTTGTGTAGGTAGGGATTTTTATTTTATTCTCAATAAGTTGTAGTTTTGGGTAAATAAATACTACAAAGAATAAGTTGACATTATTCATGGCAATTATAGTCATTTTAAAGAATATATAAAATTTAATATGAAAAGGCGAAGCCAGCTTGGGACTTACACAATGCAAGTTAGACCTAGGCTACTTAATAAGGGCTAATTCTTCATATGCTTCATTTTTTTTTTGTAGTTCATGTATTTCTAACCAATTTTATTATGCAAACATTTAAAATTTTCCCAATAATTGTGGCTTGTAGGTTAGAAAATGAGAAAAACAAAAATTACTCATCAACCATGTTTTTGGTGAAATCTTTTTTATGTTATTCGCAGAGTAGTAAAGCCCCAAGTTTGGACATTGAAAAAATATTCTTATATGTTAACAATATGACAACCTACATGTAACTATGCAACTGTTTGAGCTTTATCTATTAATGAAATGGGATTATAGCATTGGCATGCAGTGTACGTACATTAATGTTGTATTCCTTATCAAGTACCTGTAGATATGGAAGATGCACACACACATATTCTATCCTTACAAGAAGATAAAGACGCCTCATTTTTTGCTGTCTATGATGGACATGGAGGTATGTCTGTGTTACTTGTTATCAAGTTTTAAACACCAAAATAGTGGTAACATTGAAATTCTATTATTCTATTCTATTAACTGTGGTTTGTGTTTTACAATGCTGTAACCTGGGAAATTAGTTCAAAACATCGAAGTAGCTCAAACTAAAAGTCTGAAAACTTCATTCATGATTCAGATACACTTTAGGGCAACAACTCATTTTGTTCAGGGAAAAATGATTGTTGGATCATTTTGAAATTATTTTTTCTTCAAAAAACTTGACAATATGATCAATTGATGTGTACTTGTGTGCCTCCATGTTTACTATAACAAATTCAACTTCATTTAAATAATTAGTTTTGAAAAACAGTTGGGTTTTTAGAAGACCAAATTAAGTTAAGTCCAAAAAACATTTGTTGTCAAAAAATGCAATTACTCTCAAAAGACAATCACTTGCAATGTTCCATGTTCAAGTTAGTGCTGAAAAAGACTTGCAGTTTGAGTAGGCAATGCTTTCATCTGTTATCTTGAAATCTGTTGTAAGTTTTTACTCTTTAAAAAGTGCCAAACTTTAAGAAACAATGAAATGTACTGCTACTATGATAATGCCACCCTCACTCTCCGGCGTTCATGGGACTCCGACGGGGCGAGGCAGATAATGAAACTTTCTTTCACCAATCTAAATAAACTTCGCAGGATACCGATAGTCTTCTTCCTCCTCACGATCACAGGGGCCGTCTCACGTACCTGAGACAGACTTGATGGTCGTGGGTAGAGGAGTTGGTATGCAGATACAGTCAGGGAATGAATCAGTCAACCTCAAAAAACCAGCCAACACCTATATTTTGGTTATAAACAGAGACAGGTATACTGTCAATTTAATACTATAACGTCAACATTAACTTCACCACGTAGCAGAATAAAGTAAAGCCTACTATAAAAAAATGGTATACAATATTAATCTGACAAGATCTAGCCAAATGAACCAGCTCAATGAACAAACTGAGTCAATCCAACAGACTGACCAAATAAACCCAGTGGCACCTAGTCACTGGAAAAATAAAATCACATAAAATTAATCTGCCAGGAACTTGCCTACAGATAAACTAAATTAACCTGGCAGTCCCTAACACTCACGCCGAATACAATGAAACATCTAACTGCTGTACAAATAAAATGCCTGAACAAAGCAGTAAACACCGCCCACACCAGTCCCACACTATACAAAAAAGTTAACAACGTCCACACAGCAAACACTGGCTCCCAACTCAGCACAAACGCACAGGCATGCACACAAACAAGGCGGGGTAAATACAATGATCAAAATGCACAGCGTCACAATAAAATCAGTAAAATCGCCTCACCGTGCTAATCACAAAATGCGACTAACTAAGCAGTCTATACCAAGAGAGTGCGTCGCTGTTCCAAATACGTCGCCAAAAAAACAGCCGAAACAACACAGTGCAAGGGCCTAACACGAAATGCGCATGCAGTGGAAAATTGTGATAACCTCAAGCGGCGGTCAAAACGGACCTGGCAACGCACGGAAAAAATTAGGAAAATTCACGAGGTGTGCAACGGGGGAATGACGCAATCTTGGTGGCTTCGCACAAAAAAACTACACAAGGTGAGAAAAAGTACTCCCACCACCCACAAAAAAGCTACATTGATGTAAATCACAAAGTTTTGACGCAATAAAAGTTCACGTGATAATTGTTCAACGTTCGATTGCAATCAAAAGATGCTTCGGGCCCCTTTCCGAATAGTGATAGTTCACCTACCAGTCACGATCAAGGTTCGGCCACGGGTTGATCTAGCTGTCCAGCGTAGCACCGCAACAACAGTGGTTCACGTCCGGCTTCCTGCTTCTTCTTATTTTCTTCAATATACCCAGTAAACAGTAAGGGCGCCATACAGCCCTAACCAATTACACACATGCGTCAATGCACACAGACTACAGGACTACAAGCTGGCATAACCGGAGGGCCGAAGCACAGCATAAACATGGGTTACACCAACAACGAAATTTACTTCAGGAATGCTTACTTTGCGAGTGCCAATATTTTGACAGATATAACAACTGTCTGTTGTATCGCAAGGTATTCTGATTGGTTAATGGTATTTTTGACCTGTATTCTGATATATGCAAGTAAAAAATGCCATTAACCAATCAGGTCAAAGGACACCTTGGCATGGTGGAGCTCAGCTTTGTACAAAATGGATCAAACGTCAAACATATCTGCCCATGATAAAGTTGAAGTATACAATATTTCATAGTAAACCATAGAAATGACATTTTTTGTATTGAACATTGATTGAATAGTGCTGTTAAATTAAATGCTGTTATAAACTCAGAAAAGTAAGTATTTTTTAGCCTCTGACTAGACACGCCCACAAATGGTTCTTGTCATCTGTCATCAAATGTTATCGGGTTAATCACTCAACATTCAATATAAAACAATGATATTATTATTTTGCCATGCTTGGCCACTGAAATGTCATGCATAACTTTTTCAAGACGCATAGATGATATCAATAATTCAGGGATTTTTCTAAACAAGGGAACAGGGGTGCAGCGCCCTCATGCCATGGCCATGCGCCCCTTACCCTGGGGAGCAGATCCTCTGGCAACCATAAAATTCTGGTTGACCAGGGATCACATGTGGCCACAGTCTTAAACTGTGATCTGTCTGATAGTAATTTTTGCCCCAAGGATGCCTTAAAATGCTCCATTTTAACTTAGAAATTAAAAAACTCCACACCCTGGTAGGGAGAACCCTATCTCCCCCACTTGGTTGCGCCGCCGAATTGCAGTGCTCCCTTTTACAATGTTTTTTCAAGAAAAACCCCTGGATAATTAATATATTTTAACAAAATACTTATGAAAATTTGATTATTATGTCCTAATATGCAATTAGCCACCATGCTTGTTCATTTTACCAGGGTAGAACACTGCATTTTTATCTTGATATTGAAAGTATTTCATTTTACTGAATGTATGTTCTTTTATAGGTGCAAAAGTAGCACAATATGCAGGTAAAAATTTACACCATAGAATTCTTCAGCAACCAGCTTACAAAAGAGGTGAAATTGAAGAAGCAATTAAAGGAGGTTTTATAGCTTTAGATGAAGATATGCTGGAAGGTAGGTTTTGTTTTCTGTATTCTACATGTAGTACATAAATTTAGCCACCGACTGGACATAGTTCAAACACTTATAATTTGTGTCCATCTGTTTCTCAAAAGTTCATGGACCTAATTTTTCTTTGTACATAGTTGATATATTTTATTGCTGTCAACTATTTACTTACAAGGATGCAATAAATTTACTATTATTATTAATGGCCAAATTTGTTTTTTTATTATCTGCTTTAAAATAGCTCACCAAAAAATTCTCTTTGAATTTTTCAAAATTGGCGAGGCATGCTTATCACATGAGAATGCAACTATTAAGTTTATTCAGACACTGTTTGCACAATTTAGTATATATTACAATTCACTCAATCCATTTAAGTCCAAACTTTGTACACAGACAATTGTGTTCTAGCACAAGTTGAGGATGTCGTGATTCAAACGAAAATGGTCAACTGACAGCCATTTTGTTGAGCAAAAATCAACAATTTGTTGTCATTCTTCCTCACAAATTTTGCCTATATCTTAAATCATCCTGGCCATTTAGGTTAAAAATTAATGAACACTGCCTATATTTAAATTCACAATGTCAAATTATGCCCAACAGGTTACACAGACAAGTATATTATAGCACATTCTAAGAGGGCAGACTGGTAGCCATTTTGTTTTACATTTTGTCAATATACATTTAGACATTAGAGCTCACACATATTAAATTGCCAGGACATTTACTAGTTCATAGTGTAAAAGGAACTTGCACTTGTTAAAAAAGAAGCATATAAATGATGATATTTCATTTGTCATATCATAAAATCCAATATCAGAGGGGGCTTGTTATTTGTTGAATTAGCAACTATGAAATCAAAAAATAATTAGTGACTTCATGTTGTCATGAATGAGCTAAAATCACCAAGATAAGTTTATATTTGTCAGTGTTTTTTCTGATTTATAACAGATTTTGTGTTTTGTCTGTAGATGAAGCAATGAAAGATGAACTAGCAGGAACAACTGCAGTGGCTATTGTATTAAAGAATAATAAAGTGTTCTGCGTATGTTAACTTAATCTCATTGCTGTGTATCAGTATAAACCATTACTGTTGTGCTCCAGTGGGTATACATTCCCCTATTTGTCCTGTAATACAGGTACCATAATCCATTACATATACACTGTGGTGGGTACACATTCCTCTATTTGTTCTGTAATACACGTATCTTAATATAAGTTCTGTAAATTATTATATATACTCCAGTTGGTATAAATTCCCCTATTTGTCATTTGTATTGTTTGGCTTAGATTGGAGTGGGTGTCAGTAAAAATGGTTACATGTAATAGAAGATCAGGGGTAGGACTGTGAGAGAACATTGCTTGTTTTTTCTTGATGACTGTACATTATTTATCCGGGTATAAGCCCAGGGTTCTGAACATGGAAAATTGCCAAAAAGAAGGGGTGGGCGTTTGCCAGGAGATCCCCGGCAAAAAAACAAAGATTCGCGAAAATTGACAACACGCAGATCGAACTGCGGCAGGGAATAGAACGGCAAATGAAAACATGCAACGTAAATAAATGAACAATATGCAACACTAAAGTAAAACAAAAATAATGTATTGTTTATAATGTGACAAATAAACCAGAAATAATAAAAATCGACAGTGAGGAATCATTTGAATTAGGATTTTCCCGCCGACAAACACGATGAATACGCGTGAACTCAAAATGAATTAAAATGTCAGGGGTTAAACTGCGTAAAAAGATTTCCGGTCTCGACAAATTACGAATCTCAGTTCTCAGATCTTTATTTGTACGTTCATTGCCATCTTCGTCAAACTCAAAACCCTCAAATGTCCAAGTCGGCGTCACTGTAGCCGTCGAACAAAATCCCTACAACTTATTCCTGGAGTTCGTCGATATCGTCTCCACACAATTTGGACTTAGCACTTTTAATCCACGGATTTCGCAGTCTGTCAGCTTGGCACATTTCATTCATGATGATGTCTAATCATAATAAAGAAACAAGAAAAATGGGATCGCTCTGCTGCGATGGCACACGATGCTTTTGTTTACAGTCTAGCAATCATCTTTGACCTTTATGCATCTGCTTTACTGATTGGCTAAGAATGACGTCACTACTATTATTTCATCATAAAGGTCAAATCGTGACATTGCTTTCTTATCAGACTCGACGCTTATTAATCACGGTGAAAGTTATCATTCAGCAAGTTTCGGCGGTTGGAATGTCTCACTATATGGATATCGCGGTGGACTTGAAATAGGAAGTGTTTTTTTTATCCAATGACAGAAGAATAGTTTTCATAACAGAAATGCAATAGCGGTGATAAAAGATGGGAAAAAAGTTGGCAGTCTTCGGCGTGACATTGCAAAATTGCTGGCCCCAGTTATGGATTCGCAAACTGCTACAAAATATTTATAAAGCCAAAATAACGTGATTTCAACCATTCTCCCTGGTATGGGTTGCTACAATATTGCAACATTGTTTTCATTGTCGACGACGCTAAAGCTGAACGAGTGCGACACTCGGGCTTGCTTAGCGGCTCTTCTTGTATACGATTTGCTTGAACCGTTTCTAAGGAAGCACAAACCAAACAGCCGGCCCATTTTAGGGCCACGACATATTTCAAAAAGAAAACTACTGTTTGTGCTTTAATATTTATTCTTATAGACTTGCTGACTGTTATGATTCTGAAAAAAAAATCAGCGGTGAATGAGCTGCCCTGAAGGCAGAAAGCTGTCACAGCTATTTTGCGTGTTTACCCCCTTGTTTTACGCAATTAACAATACGACAGACTTCAAGAAAGTCAACTGTTAATACAACAACAGTCAACGAATAGAAAATAGTTTTTTTTTTGTTTTGTGTAGAAAAAGACCCCCTGGGCGTGTGCCCGGATATGACCTCAACTTCTTTATTGTGTCAAAAGTGGGGGCTGGGCGTTTGTCCAGGCATGGGCTCTTACCCGGATAAGTACGGTAAAGGTAATGATAGTATGTTTGATTTTAGGGAAACGTTGGTGACTCGAGGGCAGTAGCCAGTGTTAGTGGACAAGTACAACAATTATCATTTGACCATAAACCTTGTAATGAAGATGAAACGAAACGAATTGTTGCCGCTGGTGGTTGGGTAGAATTCAATAGTTAATGGTACGTTGGAAAATGTTTTGTTGTATTTCTAGTAATCATGCATTATACTCTGTATCTGTGGATAGTATAGTAAAACCTGTCAAAACCGACCATAACTGGGACTGTGATCTATGGTCGGTTTATTCAGGGTGGGCGTGACTTCGATTGAAACAACAATTACATGCTGTAAACACGGGACAAATGAACGACACCGGAGTTCACATTTATTGTACCGTACTCGATCGCGTTAGCGCCCATGCCCGGGCAAGCGCCCACCCCCACTTTTGCGCAATTTTTATATTTGAGGCACATTCAGCAAAGCGCCCACCCCTTCAAAATGCATTGAACTAATTTAAAATTTGGTCTTGCGTAACGAATCTTGGTAATCGTTTTTATATGATACAGCGTGGATATCGATCGCTGTGAATGCGTAGAACACTGTAACCGTGCGTAAACTATGCTTTGACAATGACCTGTTAATACAAGTAAAATGCGATAAAGATTTCATGCCATATTCAGTTTACCTCTCAAAAATGGAAAAACCATGTCGTTGTTCGCTCAAATCAATTCCAACAGATCGTACTTCGACATCGATAATTCACTTCCAAATTGCATTACCGGAAAGTCTTCGAGAATTTTCGAAGAATTGCGTCAGTAAAATACAGCATTCTGATTGGTTAATAACCAACTTGACCCATTAGGTCAAAGGACGCTGCTATAGGTCAAATCTGCAAATGCATCATGGCGGAGGTGATTTTCATCTAGAGTTTGCGTACGATCCAACACCTTCGTCAGTGGAGTTAATATGACAATTTTGACTTTGACTGTGTTCCAACAGACTCAAATGTTTTTAATTCCGTAAATTATGGTGGTACATAATTAATATTGTAATAAAATGTGCATATTTTTTGTGATCATTTCTGTTTCTTCATTGTGAAAATCAATGATGACGCAACTAATTTAGTAATTTGATTTTTCCTCAAAGACGTAATCTGTCACTTGATGAATCAAAATTTTCATTTGCACTTATTTTCGAGGGTGGTGCTCGGGTAAGCGCCCACCACTAAAAAATCGTGATTTTCTGTGTTGAGGCCCCTGGGCGCTAACGTGGTTGAGTACGGTATTGTTTCAATAAAATAATTTACCAAACAAGACAAGAATATGTACATGAAATCAATATACATTAAAATAACTGTTCGAACTGGCCGGGTAAGTATCGGAAATCGGATTTCACAGGTTGTTTTAACACAGGCATCTATGGAGAAATTTCGGGGCTACATAAATCGGTCGGTTCTGACAGTAGGTCCGTTTTGACAGGTTTTACTGTAGTTTAATTGCATTTTTTTCAGCTGAAACTTTGAATCTTAATGATCCATTATTTTTCAGGAAATCTTGCACTTTCAAGGGCATTAGGTGATTTTGTTTTTAAGAAAAATGATAAAAAAAAAGCAGAAGAACAAATAGTCACAGGTAAATATAATACTGAAACTTAACAATCATAATATGCATTCATGGAATCGTTTGTATATTAACATCTAACTAAAAGGGGATGTGGTTTGATGGTTTCAAGTTTGAATTCAACCTGTGGCTGAAAACCAGAAAGGGGTCAACTCTTTCATGCTAAGTGTGCATGCTGCAGACTCAGCTACTTTATAAGGAACCTTAGTGCTTGGTGCTTGACCATGCCTGGTTAAACCTTAAATCATACTCTGGAGTATGCTGTATGTGCCAAAATACTGTTTGTACAAAATACTGACAAACATATTTTCTTCGCTGTACAAGACAATATTAAATATTTTTCTCTCTCTCTCTGAATGTAGCTGTTCCTGATGTAATAGTTAAAGATATCACAGACAATCATGAATTTGTTGTGTTAGCCTGTGATGGTATTTGGGATGTTTTGTCAAATCAAGAAGTTATAGACTTTGTGAGGACAAGAATCGCAGAACGAATGGAACCAGATCAGGTAGTCATTTGTTAAATATTCTGTAAATGAAAACTCTTAATAACTTCATAAGAGACAGTGTTAGCATATTGTACTAGTGAACTATCCTATGAATTCCACAAGGCAAGCTGTCACGTTGAGCTATTCCCTGTAGTCTTCATGGCAAGGAGTCACAGTTAGCTAATCTCTGGAGTCCTCAAGAAAAGTAGTCACTGAACTATTCCCTGGAGTCCTTAAGGCAAGGAGTCACAGAGAATCTGCAATAAAAATAGTCACAGAACTATTCCCTAAAGACCTCAAAACAAAGAGTCACAGTGAGCTATTTCCTAGAGCCCCCAAGGCAAGGAGTCACAGTGAGCTATTCCCTAGAGACCTCAAAACAAAG